TCTAAAAGTGCTATATATTTTAGGTGTATCAGGATCCTCCTTCAAATGCTAGATTTCTTTGAATATGGGTTAACTGTCAACTTGAACAAAAAAAAGGAGCTTGGATTTGGTTTATGGTTAGGTTGGGAAGCATGGGGCAAGAGGCTTTTGATGGAGAAAGTGACTTTAAGGTGTATGGAAGCTTGTTGAATGGTTGGATCGAAGTTTCAATGAAGTTTATGGAGAGGCCTAGAAGAAGCTCTTGGATTAGAGCTTCAAGATTAGGGTTTGATGTGGAGGGGAAGGGTTCAAAATAGTTGAAAATGTGCTTAAGAAATATGTAGAAAGCTTCGAAAGCAAATGGGAAGCACCTCCCAAAGTAAAAATGCAAAAATCCACACTTCAGTCATGGCATGATGGTGGACTTATATGTCAATGGAGGTGGCCAATGACTTGGAAAAGGTTGCCAAGGTGGTGATGATGTGGAGTTAAAGCTCTAATGGGAAGAAGTCGCATAAGATGGGTGGACTTGGGTTTTGTCATGCTGGGGTGTTTTAATATTCTTGAGCTATTAGGTGGTTGGTCATAATGGCTAGGAGGTAAGGTCAACTTCAATTTAATGGTGGAAGCAATAAAATATATTAAAGCCATTGCATTTTTCCATGTGTCCAAGGATTTTGAATTGAAATGGAAAGGAGTACAAACCTTGGTATTATACAAGGGTTAAACTAACAAAAAGAGGATTTTAAATGGCCTCTCATGTGGCCAAGGTGAAAGACCGGCAGAAAAGTGAATGTCAACCGCTTCACCTTTGATTTTGTGTCATCCTTTTACAACTTTCTATTTGACTGAAATTAAGTAAAGAAGAGCTTCATGTCATAAGAAACCCATCAAGCCTTTACCCAGAATAGGAAAGTGGACATTACACATGAGAGGCGAGGCTAACACATTTTATTTAAATAAAATCAAAGTTAAAATTTCCTAAACCGTTGAATTTTGTGTTATTTGTGCAATTAATCACCAAAAATTTGAGATTATTGGCAATTAAATGAACCGCATGCGTTACGAAAGGTGTATTGATCGATGATCTAGTGTTATTCGCGGGTTTTCACAGTTCCGCTCTCGTGGTGTTATTTGGGGTAGAATTCTAGTTTTATTTTGATATTATTGAGGGTTTTCTTCACATTTTTGAAGGGTTTATTGATATATTTTGGTTGTGGAGTTATTAAGGGTTTTATTATGGTTTTTTATTAGTATAATTATGGTGTTATTATGTGATTTTGTGGTGTTTTTATGGGGATTTTGAGAGATTATTGTGATTATATTGTGACAAAAATATGGTTGTATTGGGGTGTTATTGAAGAATTTTTGGTGTTATGGTGAGGGTTTTCAAAGCCTGTTATGTGGTGTTATTGTGACATTGAAATGATAGTATTGACGTAGTATTGAGGCGCATTATGGTAGTATTCTAAAGCCTTTTCCACTTCACTTGAACCTATGGACACATGACACAACATAATTAATGGATTTGGTGAGTTTTAAATATTGTCAAGGGGAAAACTGGAGTGTGTGCTTAGCAATTGGATTTATGGGTGGAGTTTTATGCGGGTTGATTTTAATTTTGAAAGTTGGGTACAATTGAAGTGAATTTGATGTGAATTGGTCAAATTTGGCCATGAGGCTTAGAATTTGTTAGGGTGCTGAGTTTGATTTGGAATTTTGTGAAGGAGTTAAGTTAAAGTGGCGTGAATTGGAATTTGGGATTCATGAGAATTGGATTTGAGCTATTGGCTTGATTCTGGATTAAAGATTGGATAAATCTTGTTTGGATTGGAGAGGTGAGGAGATGCTGCAGTGCAAGGTAAATGTCCAAAGCAAAAAGAGCATCCCCAAAGTCTCATAGTCCCATAAGAACTTATTTTAAAGCCTCCACATGTTGGTCATAACCTTTCAAGAGCTGAAAGTTTTTGACCACCGATGTGAGTCTTCAAAAAGGCAAGCAATACTATGAATTTCAAATGAGGGGGTGTGAGGGGTGTGTGAAAAGAAATGCCCCAAGCCATCAAGGATCAAACAAAGTGTCCCTATGGCCTCATGAATCTATGGGAACCCATTCTTGAGCCCTCTCATGTCGTTCCTAACCTTCCAACTATTGGAGGTTTATGACCACCCATGTGAGATTTCAAAAAAAGCTAGGAGGAGGTTTGAAGTCCTGAAAGGGGTGGATCTCATTACTAGTTCTCTAGGATATTCAAAGGAAAAGTCCTATGACTAGATCCTAAGTACTAAGGGGAAGACTAGACTTCACAAAAAATGAGGTCAACAAATGAGCAAAGGGGAGTTGTGAAGATATACTCCCATCCGTTTTATGGATTATCTGAACAAATTCGTCCATCGCAACCACTCAAATGCCATACATGCTCTCACATAAAATGGAGGCCATGTTGCTGGTAGAATATAACCACCATAATGAGAGCGTCCTTAGGGCTACAATGTTCAACAAGGAAGATCTACCTGAATGGCTAGATTCAAGCAACAAGGGAGCAATGCTCACATTAGATCTTGCAGAGTAAGTTTGAGTAAAGTCAGCTCTACAATAAAAGGAAGCTAAGAGGAAAGCCGCATGATACTACAACTGACACGTTTAGGAGAAAAATTTTGCTCCCAAAGATCTAGTGCTGAAGAAAGTCGAGTTTAACAAGAGGACAAGCGGTCGTAAAGCTAGACCAAACATGGAGCGGTCCTTACATCATTGACTGCCATGTAGGATCCGAAACATGCAAACTAAAGGCCCACATAGAGAATGAGGTAATGCTAATGCTATGGGTTGAATAAATACTCAATTCATTGGTTAGAGTTAGATCTTTTGTTACATGAGATGTTTGTATTGACTCCAAAAGCAAATCTTCTTCAGTTTGTAACATTTGGGAATGGCTAGTTGTTCAACTCTAGCCTACACGATCAAATTTTCATTAGGTTTGTCTTTGGTGGGCTTAGAATGCTCCAAAGGGTAGAGGAAGGCTTCAGGACCTTGCACTAGAAAGGAAAGGAGTGCAAGTAGTATGGGAGATTAACATTAAAAGGTTTGTGTAATCCCTTCTTACATTCATAGGTGGTGTACTAGAGTTGACAAGTGATTATTTTTTCCTCTTGTGGGAAGCAATGGAAGATTAGGATTAATTTAAGCTACCCTTGAGTGCTTGAGGGTGGGGTGGCGAAGGGTGTGGTTGAGATGTTTTAAGCCACTCATGTTTTCAAGTAAACTAGGGTAAGAAGAAATGGAAAGTTGGGATAATTTCTTCCTCTTGTGGCAAACAATGGAAGGTTGGGATTAATTTAAACTACCCTTGAGTGGTTGAGGGTGGGGAGGTGAAGGGAGTGGTTGAGATGTTTTAAACCACTCATGTTTCAACTAAACTAGAATAATAAGTCAAGCATTGAGTATAACTCATTTTGGCTTCATGAAGAACATATGAAGCTAAGATTTGCTGCTAGTGTAGCCAATTTGGGAATTTAAAGGCTAGATTAACCAATTTTCAATTAATGGGGTTAGGCTTGTCAAATTAGTGCACACAAGTTAGCCCAATTGGTTTGGATCTACTTAGGGTGAGTTGCTTGGGATCTCAATATGGTTATAGCTCAATTGGATTCAACATTGGATCAAGTTTGAGCATATATAGTATATATGAACCCAACTGGTTAAACTGAGTCACTGCCCAATTATTCCTAATTGATTTTCAATAATTATAAAATACTCTAAGTCACTCCTTTAGTTCTTAATTTATTATATGTTTTATTTTATTGAGATTGAGTTGGATCCAAGCCTGCATAGTTCAAGTGAACCCAATTGGCTCAAATTGAGTTCAAGCTCAATCAGACCAAATTGAGGTTTTATTTTTCTTGAAATTGGTTTTATCAACAAGGATATGATACAAGGAGGGGTTTGGACATGTTTGTTTTAATTTGGATGAAGTTTATTTATATTTTTCTCATATGAGTTTAATTGATTCAATATTAAGTCAATGTCAAATTCAACTCAGTTAATGGCTTGATTGTGATTAGTTTGATTTAAGTATATATGATTAGATATTTATATCTAAATGAATGTTTACTCAATTTTAGCTAGGTTTGATTGGGTTTAATTTGTTTCATGATGACCCAAATGAGCCATAAGTAGGCCTAAGAACTTGGTGCATAGGACCAATTCTAAGATCCCTTTTAAATCTGGTTCAAATGACCCTTAATAGGGCTACTCATCAGTGAGCTTGGATTGGTCCAAAGTTTATACTGAGATCATTAATTTCATTTTAAGCAAAATGAAAGAGTTTGGATTGACTTGGATAGGATTTGATTTAGTTGGGCTTGTGATGGACCACTTAATCAAATTGGGATTCATACCACTTCTACCTGGATGTTTTTATAAATCCTTATTTATGTTAAATGACTATAATATAATTGTTGGGCATCCAACACCAACCCCCAACAACAGGATAAACCAACACCAACCACCAACAACAGGATAAAGCTCTTCATAAATTTGTTTCGGATGTGGTTCAAAATAAAGTTTGAATACAAACTAGTTCAAGCCAATTTCATTTAAAAAACAAATTCAATAAACAATCTATACATATGAGAGGAGCAAATATTTTTTCAACAAAATAATAAGGAGTATGTTTCTCCAATTATGATCAATAGTGCATATAAGGTCAAATTTCCCATTAATTATATATACGATGCAAATAAAAAAAAGAAGTTCATAAGAAGGCGGGCATTTTTTTATTTATGAATGATATAACATCTACTTAAGAGATTATTAATTCAACCATGAAAGATTAGTATGCCATACATTCTATAATACTTATATATGTACTTTAATGTAAGCTTATATTAGGCCAATAAAATTGTAAGTTACAAATATTTATTTCTCATCCATTTAATAACTCTAGGAAAAAGCTCTCATATTTAATGTAATTTTAAAGCATTCATTTAAATTTATAGTTTGGAGTTGGGTTGCTCCGATTAACTCCTACAATTCTCGGAAGGCACGTGCGAATGAACCCAAAACGGCGAGCAACTAAATTGCGTTGAACCGGAAGAAGAAGAAGACGCCACTGGATTGCTGCATGGTGTTCGAGGAAAGAACCCTTCCCGCACCTTCCTTCCTCCTCCGCCCACTCGATTAGCTGGGAGGAAGCCCTTTGCCGGATCTGCAGATCTCAGATCTTAGATCTTCGGATCACTGGCCAGCTACTCGTTAGAGCGATTTCGTTCCCTACCCCAAACAAAATTTTCTACGACTTTAGTGGGGTAGGGTTTTTGGAAAGATCCTTAGTCCTTGCCTGTTTTACAACGGATCGCTGCGGCGTAAGAGATGCCGGTCGCAGCATCTGCTATATACTTCCTCAATCTTCGAGGAGATGTCCTTATCAATCGCCTATACCGTGACGATGTTGGGTAAGTGCTATTACCCCTTGTTCTTTTATGATTTAGAATGCCATGGATGTGGTTAGGTATTTTATTCCGCCGAGTTGACGTATTTGAGACTATTAACAGCCCGATGTGCGGAATAATAGGTTTTGCTGATTTTGCATGTTGTGTCGATGAATGCGTGGAAGGCAGAGCTGCCGGGTTGCTTTTTTTTCTTTGTTAGTTTGATAAATTTGAAATCAAGTTGGATTAATCTTATCTGGCATGCTGCTTTATCAATTACGAAATACTATTGTCCTGCTATGTTTGGATTGCTGGTAGTACTGGATATGTTAGATGCGAAGGCACTTTTTTTTTAGAACCCAATTGCCTTCTGTGGGGCTTTTTTGAAAAATGATAATTGCATTTGCGGACGAGATTGCACCAATCATCCATGACAAGAAGCTAATTTTAGTGCTCTTTTTCATTCAGTGGACTTCATCTCTGGGATATGGTTCGGTTTTTATAGTTCATCAAATCTGTTTTCATAAAACATGTGCAATGCTGATTCTATTTTTCATGAGAGAGTTTATCCTTGGAGAAGTGTCAAGTGGAAACTCTAGTGGAGTTGAACTGGAAAAGAAAATTATAACAATACTGCTTGATTTTCTTGATTGACATGGATAGAATAGTAAAATACATATGGTTTTATGGACATATTTACATAATTAGCCATCAATAGTCTTTATTTATTTGCAAATCCCGCGAGAAAGGTTTCTTCAGTTGTTTTATTTGTACTTTTATTTTTATTTTTATGCATGCAATTTGTAACAATATGTGCTTCATATAGGGGCAACATGGTGGATGCATTCCGAATGCATATAATGCAGACAAAAGAACTCGGTATATGTCCTGTTCGGCAAATTGGAGGTTGCTCTTTCTTTTACATGAGAATCAGCAATGTTTACATTGTGATTGTTGTCAGCAGCAACGCTAATGTTGCTTGTGCTTTCAAATTTGTTGTTGAGGTATTTTTTACATCCCTTTTTTCTGTTTTCAAATGCACCTGTGTTACTTTAGTTCCTCCGTAGTTGCAATAGTTATGTTGTACTGTATTGTCCATGTGCATGACAATTTCCTACCGTGTAAACCTTTTAAATTATAAATTTTGGAGTAAAAGATAGCCTTTAGTGCTGTTATTTTTGTATAATCTCAGAGCTTTTGTTTGATTTATGAGTTTTATCTTATAATAGTTTTTGATTATAAGAAAGCTTAAAAAATTCAAAATATAGATGCAGGTTGTTATTTATGAAGTAAAATTTTCAATCGTGATTTTTTTACATTTGAGTCCCCTCTGCATAGTTCTAGGTCCTTTTATCGTAGTAACTAGAGTTTGTAGACACTACAATTATAAAGGATGTGTTGCATTTTTGTTGACATCAATTCTGGAATGACGTAGAAGGCTTAATACAAATGATACCTCTTGAAGAAAAAAATTTTTATTGGAGGAGATTTAAATGAACATGTTGGTAGAGTGGTAGAAGATTTTAGAAATATTCACGGTGACTATGGTTTTGAAGTGATTAATGAAGAAGGAAGAGCTATATTAGATTTTATTTTAGCGTATGCTTTTGTTATTGCTAATACTTTATTCAAGAAAAGAGATGAACATATTATTACTTATAAGAATGGATCTAATAAAACACAAATTGATTGTTTTCTTACGAGAAAAAGAGATCGTCGAGAATGTAAATATTGTAAGGTCATTCCAAGTGAGGATTTAAGTACTCAACATCGATTATTAGTTTTAGATTTTAAGATGAAAAGTTGTAAAATAAAGAATACTAGGAATTATCGTCGTAGAATTAGATGGGGGTTTTCAAAAGACACAAATAAAGTTATTTTTATGAGAAAATTCAAGATTTCAAAAATTGGGATGTTCATGAAGAATTCTATATGGGATAAAATAACAAAAATTGTTAAACAAGTGACAAAAGTTGCACTTGGAGAATCAAAAGAAAAAAGTTTCTATAAATAAAAATAGTTGGTGGTGGAATAATAATGTGCAAGAAAAGGTAAAATATAAGCAAATATGTTATAAAAATTGGTTTAAATGTAAAAGCTTAGAGAACTGAGAAAAATATCATACGACCCGTAGGGAGTCTAAGAGAACAATCTGTGACGCTAAAAATTTTGCTTTTAGTGATATTTATAATAGATTAGTACTAAAGAGGACAATATATATATATATATATATATATATATATATAAACTAACCAAATAAAGAGAAAAGAAAAGGAAAGATTTAACTCAAGTTAAGTGTATTAAAAAGGAAAATAAAAAAGTGCTTTTCTTAGAAAAAGGTATTCAATTAGGTGAGTGAGTTATTTTGATAAACTTTTTAATGAAATTTTGGAAAATATAATCGACTTTAGTGATCTTAATATCGTTAATAATAATAAAATGTTTAATTTTTACCATCGCATTAGCAAAAAAATAAAAAGTTGAGGAGGCTTTAAAGGCAAATATGTTATAAAAATTGGTTTGAATGTAAAAGCTTAGAGAACTGAGAAAAATATCATACGACCCGTAGGGAGTCTAAGAGAACAATCTGTGACGCTAAAAATTTTGCTTTTAGTGATATTTATAATAGATTAGTACTAAAGAGGACAATGACATTAAAAATTTTGCTTTTAATGATCTTTATAATAGATTAGATACTAAGGAGGGAGAAAAATATAAATATAAACTAACCAAATAAAGAGAAAAGAAAAGGAAAGATTTAACTCAAGTAAAGTGTATTAAAGAGGAAAATCAAAAAGTGCTTTTCTTAGAAAAAGGTATTCAATTAGGTGAGTGAGTTATTTTGATAAATTTTTTAATGAAATTTTGGAAAATATAATCGACTTTAGTGATCTTAATATCGTTAATAATAATAAAATGTTTAATTTTTACTGTCGCATTAGTAAAAAAGACGTTGAGGAGGCTTTAAAGAAAACCAAGGGCGGAAGGTTTGTCGGACCTGATGAAATTTCATTTGAAGTGTGGAAATATTTAGGAGATTTGGGAGTTTCTTGGCTTACTAATCTCTTTAATATTATTTTAAAAACTGAAAAGATGGTCGAGGAGTGGAGGAAGAATATTTTGGTCCCATTTTCAAGAATAAAGGGATGCACAAGTGTGTGCCAATTATAGAGGGATTAAGTTGATGTGTCATACTTTAAAATTATGGGAGAGGGTAATTGAACATAGGTCAAGGCGTATTACAAAGATTTCTCATAATCAATTTGGATTTATGCGGGCAAGTCTATTATGAAAGCTATACATTTATTGAGAGGTTTGATGGAGAAGTTCAGAGATAATAAGGATGATCTACATATGATTTCTATTGGTTTATAAAAAACTTACAATAAGGTTCCAAGAGATATCTTTTGGAGAGTACTTGAGAAGAAATGTGTTGATATGACTTATATTCAAGTCATTAAAGATATGTATACAAGAACTGCTACATGTGTTCGAACAAAAGGAGGATTGACCAAATATTTTCCTATTTTGGTTGGTTTACATCAGGGATCAACTTTAATCCCATATCTTTTTGCTTTAGTTACTTTAGTTATGGAGCTTTAGTTATGGATGGTTTTACTGGACACTTACAGGAGGATGTACCTTGATGTATGCTTTTTGATGATGATATTCTTCTTGTTGATAGGACGAGAGAAAAAGCTCAGGAAAAACTTGAATTATGAAAGCCTACCTTGGAGTCTAAAGGCCTTCGTTTGAGTAGAACTACGGCTGAATACATGGAATGTAATTTTAGTAGTAGAACCTCTAGTGACAAAACTATAACTATGGGTGATCAAATTATTAAAAGGTGTGAACACTTTAGATATCCTGGGACTATTGCTCAAAGTGATGGTGATATTGATGGGGATGTTATTAGTAGAATTCAAGTTGGTGTTGAAGTGGAGGAATGCTTCGGGCCGATTGTGTGGTAGAAAAGTACCGCTTAGACTGAAAGGAAAATTTTATAAGATGGTGGTGAGACCTGCAATACTCTATGATGCTGAGTGTTGGTCTTTAAAAGAGAAGCATAAAACTAACTTAAGTGTTGCCTAGATGAGAATGATTAGGTGGATGAGTGGCTTTACACTTAAAGAGACAAAATGTAAAATGAATATATCCGTGATAGGGTCGGTGTAGCTCCAGTGATGGACAAAATTAGAGAGAGTCGTCTTAGATGGTTTGGTCGCATTAAACGCAGACCATCTGATGATCCGATTAAAAGAGTAGATGTTTTACATTTGACTTATGTTAAGAAAGACAAAGGTAGACCTAGGATGACTTGGGCATATTGTATAAAAAATGATCTTAAATTAGATGAAAATATAACACTAAATAGGACACAATGGAGAAAAGCATTCATGTTAGCCGACCCCACTTTGTGGGATAAAGGTTTTGTTGTTGTTGTTGTTACATTTCTTTTGACCAGCTCAACTAATTAATTTTAGTCAAAAGTACTCTCCCTTCAAATATTGTGAATAACCTCAAGTCATGCCTCTGAATTTATTTGCCGGTGCCTACTGCAGTAACTGTTGATTTTATGGATTAAATTTGGTTGAGAGGAAAGCCTTTCTAAATTTTTATTTGGTTTCTTCATGTACTATTTTTTTTGTTCAGGCTGTTGCACTGTTCAAATCTTATTTTGGTGGGGCTTTTGATGAAGACGCTATAAGGAACAACTTTGTTTTGATATATGAGCTTCTCGATGGTGTGCAAAATGTTCTCAACCTTATATCTTCTTTTCCTTGTATATTCATATCCGTTATTGTTAAAATAGCTGTTTAGCAGTCCTTTCTGTTAATCTTCTGACTTGTCTATAGTTCTTTCAAATATAATTTGTCAGATATGATCTTTAGACCTTTGGCCAATCATAATCATCAGGTTTATTCCAAGTATTTGGTTTGTACTGTATGAATTGTAAATATGTCATACCCTTTATTTACATGGATGTAGTTTTGCCCTTTGAATTTCTTCTTGAAAACCTCACACTTGATTTTTAAATGAATAAAATTATATAACTTGCACTTCCACCTTATGAAATTTTGATAATACAAGTATGTTTATTAGAATGTCTGCTAGTGTTGCTTTCCATATATTTATGTGAAACTTATTTAGACAAGTTTCTAAATTGATTTGACTACATATGCAGTGGTTATATTGACAATAACAGAGGAAGTTATGACACTCTAGCTTAAATTATTTATCACTGTACTTGTTGCATTGCTTATCTATGGAGCAAACTAAGCTCTTCCTACTTTTGGAAACCAGCTAAGAAATAATTGTTTGTCATTGCTTGCTTCTTCAAAGTTTTGTTGTCTAGAATAGCTATGAATGGTGTTTTTGTGAACCATTCTTCTTTTTCAATCGGGAATACTTAAGCAATCGTAAATATATTTTGGCCCTCCTTAATGACTGGAAAGGTGATATTTAATATACTGAGGAATTCCTTTGTATAATGCCAATTTTTGAATTTTAAAATTTCTCCTCACTTCTGCTTAGACACCATGAACCTTTGTCGTGTTTTCTTTTTTTCAGTAGCCTTTCAGAATATTGTGATTCTTTTAAAAGTTTCATCTTTCATGTGGTAGTCTTTTCTGAAATGTAGAGGTTTGTAGTGTAGATATTCTTCCTGTATTTTTTCTACAGTTTGTGTTTTTTATGGAATCTATGAATCTGTAAAGGATCCTTACATGATGTATCATGTCTGGGTTTTGCAGAACCTAGACAAGTAATTTTATTAACCTCAACCTAGGAAATATTCTTTCCTTAGTTTCAGCTTTACATCTCAAATAAACTATTTTTACTTTACAAAGGCATAAAGATAAGATGACTTAGGTGAACTGTTTAAGATCTGACTTTCAAATGTTGGTGAAAATTGTCAAATGTTGAATTGTTGTAAAACCAATTTCATGTCTAAAAGATTTTTTGATTGTTTGTTCAACTATATCATCTATAATATCCATCTATTTTGTAGGCATTAGCATGAAAATTTATACTGTTTAATTTTTAATTGCTATGCAATTTACTGGTTCCACTATTTTTTCCTCAGTCACATCAAAAAATAATTTTCCAAATATTCCAGTGGCCTTACTTTTTCCTCAAGTTTTTTTTTTTTCATATCTAGAGATGAATTTACATGTTTGATCAAACTTGCCTGAAAATTTTTTACTCACCTATTTGATGCTTGCGACTACTAGAGTTTCCCACGTTAAAGAACTTTCAAAGAATTTTCAAGATCAAAAAGGTAAATAGCATAGGATGAGAATGTTATAGCTTGTCTGAACATTTTGAGCATTGGTGCTATTTTGATTAGTCTCATACTAGGTATTTTAGTAACTTATTCTCTATGAACAAATTTTAAACATTTTTTTCACGCCCTTGGTAACTGTTACATTTTGGAGATGGAGAATTATCAACATGCAGCTGTTTTTTTTTTTTCGAAATAGGGATGTATCAGGTGTATTAAGGAAAAAATAAAGGTGTACATCAAGACATTGTTGGTTGGATTATCTTTAGTTCCTTTCAATTGCTTGATCTATTATTCTTAAAAGCCCTTCTCCTCTATTTACGTTGTCATCCTCATTTGATCCCTTGCCATGTAATATGCAGAGATAATGGACTTTGGCTATCCTCAAAATCTTTCTCCTGAAATTTTGAAGCTCTATATCACTCAGGAAGGAGTTCGTTCACCGTTCTCATCAAAGGTCAGGCTCTATTTTATCTTGTAGGATGTCAATCTTCAAACTTATTTCAACTCTTTAATGTATGCGAGCAAACTAATTGTTTCTAAACTCTTTAGTTTACTCACTCAATGTTGTCGTTGTAATTTATGATATTATTCCATAGGCATCTGTCATATCCATTATGCTGGGGGGTTAAGCTTTGCCATTTCAATGATTTTCCTTTTGCCATCTTATTTAATAGTTTTTGAAATGTAATAATTAGAACGTTTAATAATTCATTCTTCTGCTATTAATAGCCCTCAGACAAGCCAGTTCCAAATGCAACTTTACAAGTTACGGGTGCTGTCGGTTGGAGGCGTGAGGGTCTTGTGTATAAGAAAAATGAGGTGATTATTATTATTTTTTTTATAATTCTTAACTTTCATCTTATGCTCTTTTCCTCTAATTAAAATTTTCAACTTTTATCTTATGGACTACATGAACTATTGCTGATGTATTTACACCATTTCTTTTCCAGGTTTTCTTGGATATTGTGGAAAGTGTCAACCTCCTTATGTCTTCCAAAGGTATATATGCCATTTTGTTGTTGGTAGCTAAAAAAAAAACAAACTATACACACTATCCAATTCCTTTGTATTTAGATATCTAAATCTATACTTTACTTTTTACATTTAAACCACCAAATCTTTCATAAACCATCAAAATTACCAACATTTTAACTTTTAAAAATTGAAATACACCCTTTCATATATAGGTAAGGTGGTATGTAAAAATTGAAATTAAGGTGGTATGTAAAAATTCATATACACCCTTTCATATATAGGTAAGGTGGTATGTAAAAATTGAAATTAAGGTGTGAGATGTAAATACATAATAATTGAATGGTATATATGTAAATCTTTCAAGTTTTAATTGAAACTTAAATTCTCGTCATTGGTTTAGGTAGTGTACTTCGTTGCGATGTGACTGGGAAGATTCTTATGAAATGCTTCCTCTCGGGTATGCCTGATTTGAAACTAGGCTTAAATGACAAAATTGGTCTGGAAAAGGAATCACAGATTAAATCCAGGCCAATGAAAAGGTAGACATGCAATATATTTCTGAATTGTTCATTTTCGATTTTTTTTTTCAATTTATTTGAATTATGTGACCTTTCAGAGGTTAAGAAAAACCAATATCTTTTTCTTTCTTTGAATATCATTTCTCCGTTCATAATGCTTCCTCGAGCAACTTACTATGTACGTACCACCTTATACAATTTTTTTTTTTGATAATAAATAATAGATCGACTGCAAATTCTCGAGTTCCCAAGGCTTTTTTTTATTATAGAAGACTATCTGATCTTTTTTTTCCCTTGAGAATCCATGTTAAATAAGAATTGGGTGTTAACATCATTACCTTTATAAAAAATAAAATGTGGTTGTTAATATCTTACATTTTGAAGGCATGACATTTCTGAGATTTCATGGTGCCCAGCTTAAAAATAGTGAGCTTTATTTTGGAATTTGTGCATTTGGTGGCTTAGTAACAAATAAGTGAATAAATGATCAATTCAGGTGTTTTCATCTTCCTTCCATATAGGGTCATAAATATTAGATCATATACTTGAAAATTTTCTTAATGTATGGTGCTTTTATTTTGGCTTAACTTTTGATTCATATTTTATCTTATAACAAGCGTTTCAAGCTTTGATTTATATTTTGGGGCATTTACATATGTGGCACACAATTCTTATGTATTTACATATCTCACACCTAAATTTTCATATTTACACACATAGCACTTAAATCATTTTTATCACATAAAAAATAACACTATATGCACATTTTAATTGTCAAATACATCTTATCATGTATGGGATTAAAATACCTAAATGTTATGTAAATATGGAAGTTTAGGTGTGAGATATGTATGTTGAACTTCAGAATAATGCGGAATAATATTATTGATATGAAACAAGGGTATAAACCTTAAATGAATCCTAGAATAGGAAAGACAATAAAAAAAATAACAAAAAATGAAAGATATAACACCTATATCTTCAATTAATCAATTCATATTAATTACTTCGAGATAAATGAAACAACATAAAGCATAAAATAGGAAAGAAAATTATTCCAATCCAAGGAAATAAATTTAATTCTCATAATTTATAATAGGAATAAATTATTTTCTAATATAACTTCTAACACTCCCCTTCAAGCTGAAACATGGTTGAAAACCATGTTTTAGATTTGAAACTATCAAAGAATGGGCGAGGAAGATTCTTTATGAGGTAGAATTTGAAGTTTTCATCCCGTACTTCGTAATAAACCCCAAGTTGACTGTGTTTCTCTGACTGCAGCTTCTGCAGTGTTTATAGGTAGACAGAAGACTTCTATAAGTATTGTTGCAGAGAAGTTGTAGGGAAGTACACAACCAATGGGAAAAGCTGTAGGCTATGAGCCTGCAGAAAACAAAGGAAAAGCTCCAGAGATATACCTTGCTGCAGTAGAACGCTCCGAAGAGGGTCTGCTGTAGGAAGAATTCTGGTGGAGGCCAGTTTTAGGAAGAATTTAGGTGGAGGCTTGCTGCAGGAAAAACTTTGGAGGGTCTGCTACAGTACGGAGGAGGGTCTGCTACAGGATAGATTCCAGAGGAGGGCTTGATGCAGGAGAAAGTTCTGGAGGGCTTGATGCAGGAAAAGGCTCCAGAGGATAGACTGTTACAGGAATAATTCCGGTGGAGGATTCATTGCAGGAAAAGCTCCGGAGGAGGGCTTGATACAAGAAAAATCTCCGAAGGAGAGTCTGTTGCAGGAGAAGTTTCGGAAGAGGGCCTGATGCAGGAAAGATTTTGGAGGAGGGTCTGATACAGTAAAAAACTCCATAGGAGGACATGATGCAGGAAAGACTTTGGAGGAGGATCTGTTGCGAGGAGGGCTTGCACCAGGATGCTTACAGCTGGAGGGAGAGTTCCAGTGGCAAAGGGTAAAATAGAAGACCTGCATAGGGTTTGTCGGTAACAGGGAAGAAACCGACATAGAATGGCATGTTGGCCGACTGTTGGGATTCCATTCAATGATACATCTAGTTTCGCCTCTATAATAACCTTCCTCAGAGTCATTTTGAAAGCAAATCAAAGATGAACTCCTTTTTAACAAGCTTCCTGTCGTTTCCACAATCCTTGCACGTGCAATGGAGGACAATACAAAGGTTGCTGCTGGAATTTATGGCCTGCAGGAAGATGCTGGTAAAGTTTGCAGGGAAGTTTTTCAGTCGACAGAGATGATTTCCGGCAGTTAAGGACCTGCAGGGAGAGATCCGACTGTCGTGGGAGGAGGTCTAACTTGCAGGAGTAGGCCCGACGCTCGGTAGGTATGCAGGGAAGGGATTCAATTGCTTAAAATCTGCAGCAAAAAAATCTTCAGAGGTAGTTCCAACGGCGGAAAAGACTGAAGGAGGGAGTGCCGGTGGTGGGAAAGGTTGTAGATAGGTGCCCTCACAGTCCTGGAAGGAGATCGAGAGGGAGGTCCAACGACTGGAAAATTCTGTTGGAAGTATCAACAGGTGAAACATGCAGGGAAAAACAGAGACAAGAGAACCAATAGGGAAAAGAGGTCCTCCTTTCTTTATTTTCGTCAGAAAGAGGAACTAAATCAAGCTGGCAGACCGAGATTTTTGCTGTAGAATGAAAGTCACCCCAGAGGAGGTCGGGATATCCACTAGAGAGAGTAACTCCTGCTTGAGAGTTAGGATTTCCCCTGGATATGAAAACTCTTGCTATCTGGAGGCTGACAATGTCGCAACTCCTGGCTCGATAGATCGAGAAGGGAGAGAATCGTTCGGGATCGCAGCAAAAAAGTAGGCACATAGATCTGATTTGACGGCGAGGGCCTGCAAACAACCTAGAGGGAGTGAAATTGTCCCTCCCTATTGGGAGGATGGCAGGAAGGGAGTCTGACGGGTCTGGAGGGATGCCATGGAGGGAGTTTGGTGGCTCTGGAGGGAGGACTGGTGGCTAGGATAGGGAATTTAGTTCTGATACTATGTTGATTTTTAGAATTCAACGGAATTATTTTATTAATATGAAATGAGGGTATAAATAACCGTTAATCAATCCTAGATAGTGAAGACAATAAAAAAGAAATGAAAGGAAATGAAAGATATAACACCCATATCTCTAACTATTCAATTCATATTAATTACTTGGAGATAAAAGAAGCAACATAAAGCATAAAATAGGAAATGAAATAACTCTAATCCAAGGAAATAAATTTAATCATCATAATTTTTAAGAGGAATAAATTATTTTCTAATATAACTTCTAACAATGCAAATACATAAAAATTGTGTGCTATATATGTTAATTTCTCTTCTATTTTTTATCATTAGAAATTGCTCTGAGGTTCTAACATCTTTTTGGATCATGTAAAGGACAAACGATATATTGTTGCACGTGCATCATGTTTGTTTCGAATATTATATTTTTTGTGATGTGGCCGATATATATGAGTGTGATCAATAAAGGTTAGCATTGGATTGGCCAGGTTGAATTTATGTTGGATGACTTTGAACCTTATAGAAGCCTGGCCAGACTCGCTTACCAAACTTGTTTTTTGCCTTTAGAATCATGCTTTACTCCGGTCCAGTCAACTCAATTTAAATGCAAATGGATTTTTTTTCCTGGTTAAATTGAGATACATGATGCTTCTTCTGCTTTTTTAAGTGAACCCTAAAATGTAATATGGGTTATGCTGGGTTTGATCAATTCTTCACTTTGGGTCTAATTTGTTACATCAACCCCTCTTTTAATTTGAATTTGCTAGTGATCCTATGTATAGGGATCTATCAGCTATTATGAATTTAATGGATTTGATTGTTAATTACATTTTATTTTATTGGTTTCATGAGCTCGTGCCTTTCTTTGAACTTGAAAAATTAGCAATATATGTGATACTTGATGTTGAATTGCAACAATGGTTATGTCAGTCGCAATTTTGAGGCAATATTCTTCTTCATATTTATTTTCACTCTTTGTTTAACTATTAACTATCCATTAGTCTAGTTTCTATTCCATCAATTTTATTTTCTTTCTAGAAATATTATTTGCGGATTGTTCTTTGTTGAAAAAAACATGAATTTGTGCCGAAACACTCACTAGTTTTTATTGGAAGTGCTGCTCAAGCTTGCGATCATGATTCATAAAATAAGTGTAATGTATAATATTATTAACAATCAACATTGAGTTCATAAAATTTTTTATTGGCTTTGACGATATTTACAAACAATATTAAATACTCATTAAAATAAATAAAAAAAATAGAATGATGGAGAAAATATTTCAAAAATACATGGCATAATTATTCAAACAAAGATTGAGCATAGGATATGCAATTTTAATTAGTTTTTCATCGACAATTTTCAAACAATTTATTAGAAGATAAAGTGATACTTAGGTCTGGTAGGCTTTGAGTGTTATCTTGGATCTTTTGTATATAGTATGCCACTACCCGACCTAGGGCTTATAATTAGCCAAGACTGGTATGGATGGTCGAATGGTGGAAATTAAAATTATATATTCATTTTTTTATAACTAACATTTAACAAATGGAAGATCCACTAAAGAAAGTAAATTAAAGCAATATAGTTAAATTTACCTCTTTTTTGGTTGTCTGCGTCTTCTATAAATATTTTTTCTTCTATTATTTATTTTTTAATCAAATAATTTAAACATCAAATAATAGTTTAAAACAACAATAAACTAAACAAAGTTGGTGAATACTCATACTTATAAATTATAGTTACGTAGCAAAAAGAGAACGATATGCATGCAGGTCGAAGATATTATAAATCAGTATAAAAACAATTGACAATTTACTTTTTCACATATGATTGTCATGATAGCTCACAATATTCAATATGTTTTACTATATCAGTAACATGTCTATATCATTTTATATTTGTACAGACGTTACATGAGCACCGCCTAAAAAATATATCGGTTAAGATACTTCAATATTACTATATATTTTCATTTATGTGCACGGTTGTCTTAACATTCCTCGCTAGTTCCATAAATCGATGAACTTTATCATAGTCA